CCGTTGCTTTCGGTCATGCAATGGTATGTATGTCTTAATACTTTTTTATCATCTGAGCTTCGTTAAGATCATTCTTTATTTATTAATAAATTCATAAAATAATTAGCATATCATATTAGAGAATCCTGATCTTATTGATTTGAAGCCTAACGGCGACAAATTTGTGATAAACTCAACAAATCCAGACTTTAAATTGAACAAGTTTTTGATATTAATGATCCCATGGATAATTATTATAGAAAATTGAAATATTCTGTTATAGGAGCTTATTTTTGGATCCTTGGAAGATGGGATCAATTAGAAGAATGGGATTTCTGGCCAGTTTATGTAATTAGTATAGGTAAACATTCCATACCAATATATCGTGCTGATGATATCATTTCTTTTCTTTTTAATTTATTTATTTTTTTTTTATTAGGCGCAAGTATTTTAATAGTCATCATTATGCAAAATTTGTTGATCGCATTTATGATGGGTGTATATGAGAATGCAATACATAATGTAAAATTGGCGGTTTTAGGTTATAGAGCTGATTTAGTCGCTGATTATGAAACTTTAGAAAAGCCATTAGGTAGTTCAAGAGGGAATCCAAGATATATATATTATGTTGGAAATACTGAATATCAAGAGGAATGGTTAGATAGAGCTGAAAAATTTAGAAAATTTCATAAATCATTATTAATTGAAGATATTAATTATCAATTATTAAAATCTCCTAAAGTTTCAGATTCGGATGATGAGGATGATGAGGAAGAACAAATTTTATATGTAGGTAAAAATAGTCAAAAATTTAAAGATAAACTATCATCATGAATGATGAGCAATTCTTAAAATTACAAAATGAGATGAAGACGTTACAACATGATGTTAAAGAATTGTTATCGTTCATTAAGAGTAAATGAGAAATGTGGCGTTTTAACTAGTTTATATTTATACTTTATTTATCACTGTTTGTAATTATCATAATAAAAATAAAATTGATACGAAAATGTTTCGCGTCATTGTGCTTATTTTACGGAAGTTTAATTATTGAAACTTCTCAGTTCGTTACTGCATTTTTATGAAACGATACTCACCCTTGAAAAAATCTGTCTTGAATTTGTTTGGGATAAATTTTAGAAAATTTTCTATAATTGATACAAGAACCTCTACAGTAAATGCATTATTAGAGGTTATGGCGTACAAGACAAACGAAAATAATATTTAATACATTCTTTTAGATACCCAGAGTAAAAATTTATTATTTCTAATCAAAAAAAATATAACCTGAACATTACAGAATTAACTTGTAAAATTAAACAATGTAATACGGAAAAAATGTAAGAATTAAAATATAACATTGTGCTTAGTATAAAATAAATTCCTGTCAAACTTTAATAAATAAAATTAATTTTTGAAATGTCAATAGAAATCCGTGTAAAGAGTAATGTCAAAATAATTTTATATAAAAAATGGAAATTACTACTCGTACTTTTGCAATCAAAATATTAAAGTACTCGTTTTTATTTAATTTATCATTTCATAAAATCAAGGAAGTCTAAAATTGTAGACATATTTAATTTTTTTTTTGAAATGTTTAACTATAGATGCACTGCTTTTTAGCATTTTATAAGCTTGCTCCTTATGATAGCGCATGTTTTATCACGCTAATAACACATTATCACTAGCAAACCAAGTAAATTACAAGATTTCATGTTTCATATCTATTGATGACCGCATCCTAAATCAGAACGATTACATTTACATTCATTCATTTTACATTCTTCTTTATATCATTTTTACTTTTGAATTAGAAAGGCAGAGGGATTTACCAACCCGACCCTGAAAGAAGAACCTAAAGAGCGTAAAGTCCGAAAAAAAATAAAGAGAACTTTATTTGTGATAGAGTGTCGGTTCGATCTGTTGCGGTAGGCTTTTTTTTTTAAAAAAAAAACTCGATTTTTCTTTTTATTTATCTTTTAGACGAATTTTTAAGCTATTTTTTCGTCACCATCTGCATAGGTATTATCTTTCATTAAATAATTATATTTATTTTTTTTTAGGCTGCTAGGACCGATTGTAGTTGTCTATAGAATTTTTTTTTTCTTTTTTGATTAGTCTCCACTTTCGGATTTGCTTCGACGGTTGGTATTTTTTTATTATTATATTCATTTGTGTTCATTTTTTTTTATTTTTCAGTTCGATAGCTTCGGGCCGTAGCCATCTAATGTATTAAAAAAAAGCATTCAATAAATCTGAATATTAAGGGAATATATCAATAAAAGGTAATGGTAACTATTTATATATTCTCATATACAGTATCTTCGGATTTCCGTTGAAAAATACATAATTTGAGTTTAAAACGGTAACTCTAATATAAATCAATAGATATTATTTTAACTATTACAATATTTTTTTAATAATAAAATTATAGGAAGTTCTTTTAGATAAATACATTAAACAAACATTGGAGTCTCGAGATTTTAACCAAGTCTGGATGAAAAATTTCCACAAAAACATAACGATACTATAAATTTCATTGAGAATCTAATAATTATGAATCCCCCCTTGCAAATATTTCAATACTCAAAAGTTCTGCTAGATTTCAGCTATGCAATTGTCAAAACATTTTTCAAAGTACATTATATTTTTTTTTTAATAAACGAATTAAAGCAGGAAACTCACCCGTCAATTAGATTCATCAATCAATTCACGTGTGACTGTATGTGTAATCTTGCATCCAAAAAAAAAAATTTTCATGATAACGTTCCTTCTGTTTAATCATGTTTGATAGGACAACTGGTGCGTAATCAATTATAATATGAAACTTTGCAGATTTTATTATACTATTTGTTTTCTTTTATACGTAAACTCTGTTAATTCTTTTTTCCTTAATAAATTAACGAAATCAAAAAAAAAAAAAAAAAAATAAGTTGCTCGAAAAATTCGATTTTCATGTCATGTTATATAATTAAACAAAATAGGTTAGCCATGGTAAAGCCCTTGAAAGAGATATATATATTTACTGTGTATTAAATTCTAATATAGAATGTTAAGGTGGCATTTTTCGGCATAAAAAAATTATTAGATTAGAAAGTTCGTGGAATATTTGCTATATAGAAAGGGGAAACTTGCCGGGAAAAATAAAATAAATCTAAATTCAAACTTATCTCGACCTGAAAATCATATTTAGCATATAAAAGTAACATTAATCTTTTTCTGGCAGTTTCCCCCTTTCTAATGCAAAGGTCCCATATTTTCAATATTCAATGTTATGATACCAGTCAGAGTCAACTCTGCAAAACCCAAGTGCGTATTTTCAAATAAAAGACGCGACCCAGTTAACAGAGACTGTGTCATTTCAAGACAATAAGTAAGTCTAAATCATAGGAAATATATCAACTAAGAGTTATTTTATTTTTTTTAACTAACATACGCATAAAAGATGTAATTGCCTCAAATAATTGATTTTTACAAATAAAAAAGTTTAAGTCGAAACAACTCCTGAATTTGAATTCAAACCTATAAGTCGTTGATAAAAAAAATTACCAGTCATTTTCCCTGGTAAGGACATTATATTGAAAACAAATAAAAAATATATGAAATTAGAAGCAAAAGTATGAAGCATCCAAAGCCTTTACAAAGAAATAGTTACATAATACTGAAAACAAGCTCATTAAATATTTATTTAAAACCATTACCTACAACCCCGCCACCAACAGCAGGGCGGATCTTGACAACTCCTTTTCACCAAGCTTGAGTGTTTCTCATTAGAAGAAGGAGCCGAGAAAGCAACATGACTGAAGGCTGAAATGACGATAATAAGCATGAAAATGTGAGTTTCATGATAACTTTAAAATATTTGAAGGATTAATATCACAAATGTATTTATAATGTGTGAATTTTATAAACAGAATCTTGTGGGAAATGTAGCTTAAAGACGTGTATTTATAAGCAAATCAGGTTAAATTATTTGATGGAATGGCTTTCTCTTGACAATGTAATAACAAAATGTCCTCACTTTATATAGTTTTTTTTTTTAAGTATCGGGCTTACTGGGTTTATCCTTATCAAACTTATATTTGATTCTCATAAAGAGCGTTACAACCTTTACTAAGCCAAGAGGCTCTAGAAACGTAACTAAGCCAAATGGCTTTTGTAACGTACCTAAGCCATATGTTAATAAATTCAAATTACTTTTTATTTCAATAACAAATAATGTATTTCGGTATTTAGTATATAATTAAATAGAAACTGTAATGATATAATTCCTCCCGAAAGTTCACGATATACGCTTGTAAATTGCTTTACGATAATTGCGACTAGTCTTTGTAGATCTTTTGACCAGGCCAGGATGGTAGCGATATATTCAGTTCAGTTCTTTCGTTTATGTTATAAACAATTTTAAATGTAAGCAGAAAGTTTTTATTTAGTAAATATGAAATAATGTTGACGATAAATTTATTTAATAAGTTTTTTTGTCTCTATGACTAATTTTATTATTATGATTATTATTTGTTTGAGTGGCTTTAAATTACCCAGTAAGATATTATCTTTAACATATGGAAGAAATAGAAAAGCAAGGCTTTGGGATTTTAGGACCAATTTCCTTACTAGAAATACGTATTAAAATTTTTGTTATTTTATAACCATGTTTCAATTAACGAAAAGAAAATCAATTTATTTGGCTAAATAGAATTTTTTGTTATGTTCGGAAAATAAAATTTTTCATTAAAAAGTAACATAGAATTAAACTGATAATGAAATTGATATTTTTGTTTAGCAACCAGATCATCAAAATCAACAATTATTTCATCTTCTTCGTTGTTTTTGTGTTGACTGTTAAGTAATTTCAAACCAGGTGCATTACAAAAGCTTAATAAATTATATAAACTTTCTTGGTTTAATATTCTATTTTCATAGAACTCCGGTTCAGATACTTGATATTCTTCATATTCTGCAGATTCTATATCGTTTCGAATATAGAATAGATGATTTTTCGTTGCGCTTCTTTTATCAATTTATATTTGGTCTACAATTTCTTCTGGTAATTTCATTTGTTTCAAATCCCAGAAATTTGTATGCAACAAGTATAAGCCTGACATCTTATTTTCTTCGAAAATTTTCACTTCTCGTGACGTCCAACTTTCTTTAAGATGCGTTTGTAAGTACTCATTTACTTCGTGCACACTCCAGTCTCGGATTTCTTTGTCGTTATTACGGGAAGAAGACTCTTTATAGACTTCAAGAAAACTGATATAAATAAAATAAATAATAAGAATAATAATAATAATAACAGTAAAAATTTATTTTTGATGTGAGAATTTGTAACTCATACTTAGGCTTAGTTATGTTTCTTCCTTTCTGTGACATTTAAGGAAAGACTTTTTTTTTTGAATAGTACGTAAAGCGGGGCGAGGAAACCTTGCAACGTGGCCGATAAATGAAACATTGTAGTGAACAAAAAAGCTTTATCGTTATCGAAAATTCGATTTTTAATATTTACACGTGATTCAACAAATATTCACGTGATTCATGATTTACAAAAAAGTATTTTATATACCTTGATAAATTTTACTGTTATGAATATTTATTTTATTTTTAAATAGTTTTAACTAATAAGGTTCCAAAATGTTTATTACATGATACAATTTTTCACGTATATCCATATAAATAATCAGCATATCAAAAAAGCATAATAATGGAGAATTTATTAAAAACAAAAAAAAATGTACAGTTTATAATTAAATATTATATATATGTTTAATTCTTTCAAATTTAAATTATAATACTTTTTTATAAATAACTATCAAATTCAATTACTACTAAAGATAACAAAAAATAAATGTTAAAAATAGAACTTTATATATATTTTATTAGTTAAAATATTTTAAATCAAAAAATGGCTAAATTAAGAAAATCAATCATTAATCAGCTATTAATAAATTATATAAAATTAGTAAAAAGTGCTTAATTTATTCAAAAACTATTATTTAGATTTAATGTTGAATTTATTTTTTAATTTAATTTATTTATTTAATTTACAATAATTATAAAATATAGAATTTACAACTTAAATAAAAAAGTTCCAAAATTTTATAAAATTTCATTTAATTTGCATTAAATTATTTATTTGTGAATTTCCTATTTTTGCTTTTAATAAAATTTTAATAGACTTATTGTAAAAACTTCTGATGAAATTTATCTAATAATTATTAAATAAAAAAATTCAAATAATAAAAGATTTCTAATAAAATGTATCTGCTATTTAATTATTTCTTTTCTATTATTCAATATAACTTATACTTACAGAAAATATTTTATATATATATTGCATGTTGCTACTGCTTGGTTTATTTAATATGAAAAATATAATATTATATCAAATAGTAAGATACACGTTAATAAGTTTACTTAAAATTAGAGTAAACTATATTATTCCTTTTAGTTCATAAATCTGTTTCTAAACTGTTGATTTCTCAAAATACATGAATAATAATAATTAATTTAAAGGTATTTTTATAAAGAAATAAATTAATACAAAGATTTTTAATTGTATTACTTTGAATTCCTTTAGTTTATATATTAAAATATCATATAAAAAAAGCTAATCATTTTTATTTTTCCTATCAGATTTCAGTTATTTTACTGTTTATATTTCTATTTTTTATTTCTGTTTTTTTTATTTTTCTTCCTGTTAATACCATGTGAAGTCAATCTTACTGCATCACAAAGATTGATAAATGATCAAAATTATTAATATCATTAGCATTTTTAACTTAGTTAATATTTTTATTTTATTTATTTTATTCTTATATTTATTATTATTATTTATTATATTATTATCATAATTAAATTATAATTTATCTTTTATATCTATTTAATGTTATAAAGTAGTTTAGTATTAGATATAATTTCTTATATTTGTATTTTTGTATAAATAGGATAGGAAATTATCCTTGCAAAAAGGCAGAGATAATAGTAATAACTTAATAATTCAAGTTAAAGACTTAGAATCTAAGGTTAAGAATTGCTAAGAATATAAATCTCTACAATAAAGAAATCTCTTTATAAATTATACATACTAAAATTCTTCAACGTATCAATTATATTTATTATTAATACAAAATTGTTAAAAATTATTTACTCATTTGAATTATAAATCTAAGGTTGATTGTAATAGAACTTATTTCATAGTAACTTAGTAGTTTCTCACATGTTACTTTCTATTATTAAGTTATTAATACTTTAAATTTGACAGACTGAGCGTAAGGTTAATACTGTTTTCTATTTCTATTTTCTGATTTTTTTCATATTTTGTCTTTATCCTAAATATGGCTAATTATAAGTATTTAACTAATTACATTATTTCACTAATTATATTATTATAATTATATAATTTAATATTTTACCTATTTTAACTATATCTGTTTAACAAATATCTATCTTTTATTACATCATATCACATGCTTTACTTTACCTTAACTAATATAACAATTTATGAAATTATTATTTTGTTATCTAATAAATTACTTTTCAATAATTAATATCTAATAAATTATTATTCAATAATTAGTTCTGTAATAATATCAAATATCAATTTATATCAACTGACAGTTAACATATATAAGATAATTAATGTTGGTGAAACCTCCTTAAAGTATTTAAGATCAGCTCATAATTTAGGCCAATCAATATTTGACACAAATAATCATTTAAAGTATAAAATATATTAGATTTATAAAAAAGAAAAAATCAAATATAAAAATTAAAAAATCTTTATTTAACATATTAAAAAATAAATATATAAAAATTTTTGATACAACAAATTTTTTAATTGTAAAATAAAATGTTTTTAATAAAATAAAAATTAAATAAATTTTAAATTAAATTTTTATTTAATTATAATTTAAAAATAAAATAATTTATTGAAAAAAATAAAACAAATATTTTTTTTTGCATAAATCTACAAGTAGAAAAAATTTATTTACTAAAATTTGCCAATCATTTTTTAATAATTTGCTAAATTTTATTATTTAATTGATAAAAAACTAACTATTTAATTTATTTGACCTAATAATCAAGTTATAATAACAGATTTCATATATAATTTTATTTTTTTTCAAATAAGTATTTAATTATAATAAATTAATTAAAAAATTTAAAATCTTTATTAAAAATAAAATATACTTTAAATTTCATTATTTTTTTTTTTTTACTACTATAAAATATTTATTAAATAGTAAAATAATAAAATTATATTAAATAGTAAGATATTATAAAGTATAATAAAGGTTCGGGCGAAACCTGATTATTACGCCCAATCCGAATCTGAAATCTAGGCGATATTAGTTATGCCTCAACAAAAAATTTCTGAAATGTCCGATTGAGTCCGATACTGCCCAAATCCGAAACTCAATCCAAATTATTTGAAATTCTCCGAAACTTAATTATTCACATGAAAATCAAATATATAACATTGTTGGTAAGACAAACATTAATGCATTCACGTCTTACAAAATGGAAACTACTTCAACTACTTCAACTGATGATACTTCATTACCTCTGGAGGGGGGTGTCGACTCAAACGGGTTTGGAATATAGCAACGGGGGTAGCGGTAGTTTTTAAAATTTTGTTTCTTGAATGC